CATTTATGTATTTGATTATATAAATATAAACTCACAATTCTTATTCCATTTAACAGATTCTATTTTGATATTATGATACATACCTTGATATTCAGATTTGGCCAGAAAGCATCCCTTCAAGTCTGATTCTGAGATCTGTCAACATTCTCCAGCATTCTTAGAACATTTCCTTAATCTGCCACAGTGAAATAGTCCAAGGTCCAAGAAGCCTGTTGCACTTTCCATCCAAGAAGTCCTACTTGTATTTAGCGGGAAAAGATATCTGGAAGCCAAAAGTCAGGGTACTGGGTGTCACTGCTCCTTGGTCCTTCCCAGAGTCAGAGAACAAATGTATATACACACAAACACAAACACACACTTACATCTACAATTCATACTAGTATTACCTCTTTCTGTATTTATAAGTCCTTCAACAGTAAGGATCTACAATAATGAGGAGAGCTCATCTTCAATACATTTCTTGTTTTGTCCGTCTCCACTGCACAAAAGCAGACTCCCACTGCTGCCACCTCACCCGACGTGGGCCGCCACGTCCACCTCTGGCCACTGCCATTGCTGGCCCCTGTGCAGATGCCCTCTTCACAACTCTCAGTCTCTGCATCCTTTTCTGGGGCTTTCCTCATAGCTCAGTCAGTAAAGAATCTGCCTGCAATGCAGGAGCCCCAGGTTTGATTCCTGGGTCGGGAAGATCCCCTGGAGAAAGAAATGGCAACCCACTCCAGTGTTCTTGCCTGGAGAATCCCATGGACAGAGAAACCTTGCAGGCTACAGTCCATGAGGTTGCAAGAGTCAGACCCAACTTAGTGACTAAACCGCCACCGCCACACTCATCCACTTGAACTCTAATACTCTTCACTGGCCCCCACTGATCTCTACATAAGTTGCCCTTCTCACACGGTGTGGACACTAACAACCAATACTAGACCCAATCGACTCAGTCACCAACTACCCTTGGCTTACATACTTGCACCACTACTGCACTCTGCGTGGATGCTGTCCTCACCAAAGTCAGACTCTGGCAGTCTGTACCAAGATGCATGGATGCTATCCTCACCCCAGTTTGGGCTTCCAGTACCCTATGTTGGGCCTAATCTCCTTCATGGAGACCTACCTTCATCAGCCCAAGTGACTTTTAGACCAAATTCTTAGAAAAGAAGCAACTGAATCCTTTTTGATTTATAATTTTTCAGAATTTCTATCATTTCTTTCACCTTAGTTCACTTTTTTATCATTTCCCTCATTTCTTTCACTTAGTTTACTTTGAAATGTCCCACTGAGTTTCTGTTTTGGAGCTGTGTTTTTCTGGTATTGTTTTCTATATGCATGGGATTTGTTTCATTTTTCTTCTAATATATACATGGGGTTCATTTGCAGGCCTTTTATGTCAAGTATATTTTTGTATTTTTTCCATAGGGAGAGTTTTACGTTGGAGATGGAAAAGGACTAGGTGACATTTCCTAGGTTCATCTTTTTTTCTTAATTGAAGTATAGTTGATTTACAATGTTTTGGGTATACATCATTTGATCCAGTCATATATCTATATATATTACATATATAATTTATAAATTCTTTTTCAGATTCTTTTCCATTATGTTATTATATTGAATATGTTCCCCTGCAATATACAATAGCTCCTTGTTGTTTATTTTATATATAGCAGCATATATCTATTAATCCCGAATTAATCTTTCCCCACCCTTTCCCTATCGGTAACCATAAGTTTGTTTTCTATGCCTGTGAGTCTATTTCTGTTTTGTAAATAAGTTCATTTGTACCATTTTTTTAGTCTTACATACAAGTTATGTCATATAATATTTGTCTTTCTCTGACTTAACTTCACATGGTATGAAAATCTCTATATCCATCCATGTTAGTACAAATGGCAATATTTCATTTTATATGGCAGAGTAATACTCCAGTGTGTATATATGTGTTTGTGTGTGTGTATCAGCTTATCCACTGATAAGCTGGTGGACATTGTTGGTGGACATTAAGGTTGCTCCCATGTGTTGGCCACTATAAATAGTGTTGCTATGAACTAGCTTCATCTTTTGAATGCACTGAAAGCAAAGTAAACTTTGCTTTTGTCTTTATAAAGCAATCTCTATAATAATAGCCAAGATCTGCTATCTCTTGCTTCCTCCCCTACCAATATTTGAACTTTTACCTATTTCTTAATCTTTCCCCCCTGCTCAGTTTCATTTCTACTAATAGTTCCTTTCTTCCTCAGAAGGAATTTTTTCAGAAAGAATGTGAGTGGCAGAATTCTATATTTCTGAGATCTTTGAAGGCTTACACTACTCTAGTAGACTATGATTTTTTAGATGGGAATTTTCTTTTTACTATCCTACTTGTTGTGGAGATTTATAAACCATACTGCTAGCCTCCAACATGTCCCAAATGCAAGCCATAATCTTGCCTAGACAGTTCTAAGCAAANGGAATTTTCTTTTTACTATCCTACTTGTTGTGGAGATTTATAAACCATACTGCTAGCCTCCAACATGTCCCAAATGCAAGCCATAATCTTGCCTAGACAGTTCTAAGCAAAGCTTTGCAACCAACCCAGGAACTCCATAGTAAACACCTCAGCCTCCTGTCTCACAGCTTCTTCCCAGCTCCAGCTAGCTCACAGCATTCTTCCGGGTGGCCGTGAGTTTGCCTGAGAGCCAGTGGGCAAACTTGCCTGCCCCAGTGAATCCCTCCCTGACAGAACAAATAAATACCCACGTGGTTGAAAGACTGAGTACAAATCATTTTTTGTTTTTCCAGTTTTTCTTTGTCCCCATTAGCAGTACCTTACCAGCATAAATCAAGAAATCCACATACATTTGTGTATCAAATACTCATGAGGCACAGTTTGAAATTCAGCAGTTGTTTTAGAGCCCAGTCCACGAAAACATGAGGTCAGATTGAAAGCGTCCATCATATAATGTCTCTGAACAGTGCCTATTGAGACTTTAGACCCAGGTTCCTGGATTCCAATACAATTACAACTTGTATAAAGTTTGCAAACAAAAGTTGTGAGATGTGACTTTCTGACAATTCTCAATAATGAACGCCTTTCTTTTGGAAATCTATGATTTTGACACACATTTATATGAAAGAAATCCTGTTTCTCCTAATATTAATAAACCCTTCAGCTTGAAAGTTCCATACAATTGCTTTGTCTTATTTGATCAATTTTGCCAGCTTAGGTTCAGCACCCACCAAGGCACCATTGGCTGGAAGAGAACACTGGACCTGAATCTAGAGTGCCTGCACTTGCTCAGGGACTGGCCTCCCTCACTGTTCCCTCGGCTTCCCATTTGTTTCTGTAAAATGTAAGGAGTGAAGTGGTACCACACCCGGACCCAGAAAAGTAGGGGGTGATGGGGGCTGTCACATGGGGCAGTATGGCAGTCAGAATCTCATGGAAACCCAAGACAGGAAGCAGACAGGACAGACTCGGGAAGCCTGGACCTGCAGTCTTCTAGATGCGATGATGAGACTAGAGGGGCCTTGCCGCGGTGCTTCACAGAATCTTCACTTCCACCTTAGTTGTCAATGTGGCGTCAGTCTCCATCTGTATCACCCAGTGTGTGCCTGCTACCCTTCCTGCACCAGAACTGTCCTCACGTTGTGTCTCGGCTTTAATGTGAAGCTTCCTCTTGGTTTCTAGTTTTAACTGATTTGAGACCATTCTAGAAACTAATCACACATCACAGTGAGTCCCCCATGAATCATTTCATATTTGGAACCTGCTGCTACTATCTCCATTCTACTCTTATAAACCAATTAAACAACCCTGAATGGAAGGCTCTACCACATTTTCTACTTTGCAAGATGTTAAAGTATAATATTCACTCTAACATGATACAATTTGAGGGAAATTCCAGTATAAATTGAAAATATTTAGTTTGTATAATAAAATAATAATTTGTATGATAAAACACTAAAAATATCTTCTATTTATGAAAATAGAATATGGAAGAACTAATAACCAATCATAAGCCCAATTATCAAGAGGAATATTACAAAGCATGATATATTTTACATATATATAGATGCATGTGCATATAATTATACACCTAAAAAATAGTAGTGTCTATAAATTCTAGCACACAGAAAGGTTAATATGGTAAAAAAAAAATTTAACCAAAAGTGAGTAAGTAATAACTTGTGAATTATTTTCATTTCACAGCTTATTATCTTCTAATAAAAACTACAGTGAAGATCTGAAACTTTTCTCTCTCTTTGACATCTTCTGTTGCAGGACAGTGCAGTAGATGAAAGACTTCAGTTTTCTATCCATGAGCACATTGAATGTAAGAAAATATTTAAATATTTTTGAGGACTGGGTGGTCAAGTACGGCTCACATGCCAAGAGACAGGGTAGCTGACAAGCACTCAGCCAAGTGCCCATCCTGATATACTTGGCTTTGAACATGAAAATAAGATAACATGATTAGAAACAAACAAAAATCCTAAGATTCTCGAGTGCAGTATACTGACTATTCCTTTCAGGGAAGTTGGTGTTTTCTAACTTCACATTGACTTTCCCGAGCCCCTGTTGAATACTAGTCCTTTCCGGCCATCAACAAATACCTCTTCTACTCTCCTCCCAAATATTCCCACAATCTCTTGTGATTTCTGGTCCCTAATTTAATCCCCTCTGCTTTCTCCTGACCTTCTTGCAGAAGCTCCATCAGAAAAATACTCTGCTCCCTTTGCCAGAAACTTTATAACTCTGAATTTAGCATCAGATCTAAGGGCAAGTAAAGAATGCCAGGAGATATCAGGTAGTTAATAGATGAGAATCCATCCAGAAGGCAGAGTTGGCTTTGGGCGGCCTATGGCTTTGTACTTTTCTGTTAATGGAAGCAATATCAGAAGAAAGACAGAGCACCCATAGTAGGTCTACTGGAATACAGTGGTGGGGTCTGGGTTCTGAGAAAATGTGAGATGATGTGGCCAGGGGGTAAGGACAAGGAAAAAATAACTGGGAGAGATGGTTTTTAAAAATCATCATTATTTTATTTGTTGTTTTAGGGATACGACATTTTTATCTTTGTAATGTCCTGGTTTTTCTCAGGATCATTACAATTGTTTTCAGTGCAACAATATGTTTCTCTATATAAGTCATGAAATATCAGGAACGCTCCCTCTTCACAAGTCCTACAAGACAGCACTGAGTATCTGTAGTTATATCTATCTAAAAAGAATGGAAAAGTAAATGTGATAACCTTGTTTGATCTCACCATCTTCCTAGCAATGACATCTCCCTAGAACCTCAAAAATCTCCTACACACAGGAAACTTGCCCCAAAGCTATGTCTGCATTTCATCTATGTCTCTCTAAACAGGACCAGGCAAAAGGTAGCTGCCTCCCAGACAGGCTCCATCCCAGGTCTGTGTACGGAGAATCCCACTTTCCCACCTGGCAATGGTCCCAGTCTCCCTGCATGTATTGAGTCCAGGGATCATGGCCACCACTGATAGTATCTTTTGTCTTTTTCTAACCCCACTTACCTGCAACTCGATCATAATAGTAAAAGTGGTCTGTGACACAAGCTCTCTTCAGGCTACCCACTTTAAATTTCCAGCAAGATCGCATCTTATGGAGGCATGTGTATCCATTGTGGAAATCACATGAAAGGCAAACCTGAATGACTAAAGGAAGACAGGAAAACTTTGATGCAGAATTCTAGGGACAGGGATTCTGTTCAGAAGCCCACCCCCACCTGGACACCTTTACACTTCAGTGGTGTAACACACACAGGAGGGATGCGGACACCCTCCCAGCTTCTGTCAGGGGGTCGTTACTCCCCTCAAGAGGTTAAAGATCTCCCCCTCTCACCCAAGGCTGGGGGCTAAAAGAAGACACCAGAATAGTCAGTGGGGAAAGGGGAATGTAGCCAGGGAGGGTAGAGAGATAATGTGAACAGAACTCAAAAATGTCCCCTCCCATTGTGGCATGATTTATCCAAGAACTGAAAATGAACTACACCGTACAATTCGTTGTCAGGACTCTGTCTCCTGTAGAGAGAAGAAGAAAAATTCTCCTTGAAGCACCTCACACCAGTCAAGTCACCAAGTCCCTCTCTTCCTCCCCATCCATTCTCTGCCCACCCATTTGCCCACCAAGGACCACCCTCACCAGGCTTACTCTCATTCATGAAGAGCACCATGAACATGCTCATCAGAAGCAACCTGAACATCCGGGGGCCCATTCCTGCCAAGGTCCCAGTAGGAGGCTCCAGCCTTTTTTATCCCCACCACCTACCTGCCCTCAGGCGTCCCACTAGAATCGCAAAGTCATAAATTTCAGGTCAGTCCACTTCAATCCTCTCTCTCCAGTGTTCCCAGGAGACAGTACATCCTGTCTATTTCCACCTACTTAGAACACAGGCCAAGCAGATGTCCTGTTTCATTTCATTAGATCTATCATAAAATACTAATTAATGCTGGCATCGAATCTCTCTCCCTACTACCTCTTCACATGATTGTATTTCCACCTGTTGGTCTACACAACAGGTGTATATCCACATCCATGTGATGCCCACTCAGCTACAGCAAAGCTGGGGCCACTGAGCATCTGGGAGTGAGTTTCTCAGGTTCCTTAAGGTACCACAACCCTCCCGGACACTCACCTCAGCCGATTCCCCAGACACAGTCTTACTGCCTGGTGGAGCATCCCGCTCTGAGATGGATGCGACAGTCCAGGAAAACAGGCGACAAGGTGAAAGTGATCCTCGCTTCCCTCCAGCTTTATTCATTAAAATTCTGAGTGGGGACAAAGACCAAGAATGATTACAATGGAGAGACAAATGCTAGGAGTGATGGGGAGAAAGAGGAAAAAATGCTTCGATTACTTGCTCGACAGGGGATGTGACGGGATGAGAAAGTCAGAGCTAAGGATACACATGTGTACATGCGCATACCCCAAACTCCCTCACTACACTTTCCTATTGACATCTTCTCCAGAGTACTTAACCCACTTTGTCCTTCTCTAGCTTCTCCTTCCTTGGGGCTCTTTTGTCTCTCTCCCCTCACAAGAACAGAAGTTCCACAAACACAAGAGTTGCACGCGGTACACTGCTTTCTTCTCAGCAGCTAGAAGGATGCCTTGCACAGAGCAGATAATCAGAGCCACCTGACGAGAAACTGGATGGCACGATGAGTGGGGCTCACCTGGGAGGCACCGGGAATGGGGCCTCTGCTGTGACGGCCTGAGTTCAGGTTCCTGGCCTTCACCTTGCGGGCAGGAGCCACCGCACAGAAGACAGGCAGTGGTGATGGCAGGTCGCCCTTCTGGGGAGGGAGGGAGTGTGGGGGCTGATTACCTGCACAAGCTCATCCCCAGAGCCAGACACACCACCCACCCAGGTGAGATCCTTCACGTGACCTTCATCCGAGAGGACCCCGCGCACACCTGGGGTGGGAGCCCAGGCGTGTCCCCTGTGTGCGGCGTGGCCTCGGACAGGTCCTGAACGTCGCTGTGCCCCGTGACCGCAGAGGTGAGACAGGACCTCTCAGAGCTCTGTCTGCTGTCTCTGTTAGGACGCAATAGACTCACTCGTGGGTAACGGCGACGGGGAAGGGCCATACATGAAGACCTGCTGGGCGTCTCAGCAGTCTTTGGGCATGAGACCCACTTCATCTTCTGACTTCTCTGAACAGCTTCGTAGGTTGGGAATAATTGACTCCATCTCACCACTGATGACCAGGAGCACTGGGAGTCGCAGCATCTTTCTCCAAGTATCACAAGGCGCACAGCTGTCTGATTTAGTGGGCTGTTATCATCCGCTCCATCATGGTGTCTCCTCTTCTCTAGAAACCGGAGAAGAGCTCCCAGGGCTCTAGCTCCAGAGTGACCTGTACCCTGACTCCTTACATGGCAGTAAGAGATGGGGAGAATGGCTAAGAAAAATACCCTCTCCATAAAAAAATAAAATCTCTCTCTTGCTATCAGAGAAAACATTATTCATGGGCAAACTTCCACTGAAACTTGGGTTCCCAAAAGCCTGGCTGGGATTTAAGACTTACCAGCCATTGTCAAGGAAGTAATTCACTTAGGGACCACCTTTGCGTGTCTTGCATTCAAAACATGTGAGACCCACACAGAAATTCATGGACAGAAGTCCCAGGGGATCTGAGCTCAGCGCATGAAGCTTAGCCCTGCAAGCCCTCCTATTCCCTCTGGAAAGATGCTCCTGCGTCAGTGATTGAAACCCCCAAATCTGTGCAACCCAAACCTTTCCCCTGTGTTTGTTCAGCCACTTTGAACAACATTATTCTCAGGATAAAAGTCACAGAAATTTGGAATTACACCAAATTTATTAAGTAAATAAAATTCCCTTTGTGCCCCTGAGCCTGAGAATAACAATGTGAATATCTTGCCTTAACTCCATATAATATTTCTGTAGGTGTATCTCATAGTCGTGATATTAAAGACTATCCTAGTTGACATGACAGATGTGATATGTTGAGTTTTTGTTGTGGAACTTACACTCTTCTTGCTGTACTTCACTTCCCCTCTTAGACGTGAGGCCCAGCATGGCAGGAGATTCTTTAACTTTGTGGGAGAACCCTTTCAAAAGGTTATTTTGTTATAAAGCTGTACAGTGGAAATGTGGTAGCCCTACCACTCTGCAACATGACTCTATGGGATTCATTATTTCTATTTCCCCAGGCAAAAGTGAACTGAACGTGCTCCCCAATGCCAAGGCACAAGGACATAACAGAGCTAAGAGTTTTGGCAAATGTTAGCATTTTGGAACTTCAGGGGCCATACAGTCCCACAGCTGGAGTGGTATAGAGGCTTCAGTCAGCACAGAGTACCCTGAGAGGTCACCCGTCCACAGACAGCCATGGTCTGCCACTGAGTTCTGGCTTGTCGAGAAGAACCCAACGGTGGGGGTGGCGAGAGGGACATGTTCAAGGTTAACTCCTAGTAGGTGGAGGCATGTCTTGTGTGTTGGAGTGGGCGGAAGATCAAGAACAGTTTCTTTCAGAACAGCCTTTGAAGTCAGGGACTCAGGTTCAGCACAGACTGGTTTCTCTCAGATGAGTGAGCTGCAAGGAAATTAACTAAGCTGTCATTCATGGAAACAGAGTGACATCAGGAGCGCTACTCCTCAGAATAATCAAAGACTTCAGAAATGTCCAAAAGATTTTTGATCTCTAAAAGGCACTCAGCTCAAGTATCCTGGGAATCATCCCCTTGTATCTTTCCCCATCTCCAGACCTCCCTTCTCATCAGGATTTTCTGGGAGGCCCCAAGAGCCTTTCTGGATGCCAAACTCCTAGCTGCAAGTAACTCTTCTCCAGGAGGAGGCAGAGGGAGCTGGTTCAGGATCATTAGAAAAGACTATTCCCAGACCTAGCGCAGAGTCAGGCACAATTTCCCGAGTCCTGAATGCTGAGTTGATTCTCCTCTTCCCTATTTGCCTTCCCAAAGACCTGACCTGGAGTTTATTCATTTCCCCTATCTTGGGAAAAATCAAAACCCCAACTCTTCAACTCTATCCACAGTGAGAGGCTGAATGAGAGCCACAAAGTTAGAGAATGATCACGAAGGGCCACAGCTCTTGCATGCTGTGACTACAGCGTCTGGAACTGTACCCTGGGAAGTGCTCACTCTCTCAGGCCTCATTTGTGATACCATTGCAACCTTTGTCTCTTTGTCTATATTTTCCTGACCTTTCTTCCTTCATAGGGCCCTTTATCTCTAATTAATAACATGCTTCTTCCACTGAAGCTAGGATGCCACAAGGGTGAGGTTAATGATGATTTTTTTCTTCTTTGTTTACCTTGCAGGCAAGGGGAAGGACTTCTAGACCACAAATTGTTCCTGTCATTACACACAACAGGTTATATCTTAGGCCACACAGGTCATTTAAGATTCAAACTGTTTACTTTTTAGACAGCCAAATTCTATGAATGTAAAGCAACTGTCTTGGAAGGTTTTGGTTACATAAGAAAGGTAGGATGGTCTGATAACCACTGTGCTGTAAGTCACAAATTTTTATGTACTCAGAAGAATAGCCCTCATATCTGCTTTTTGATTTGTAATGTGAGAATAATGAACCATCTTGCTGTCTTCCTTCCCTCAAAGAGAATAGTGAATAACAGTCAGCCTTAAAGTGTGGTTCAAAAACAGCAGTTTCACAATTTCAGCCAAGTCTTTGTGCAACCGTTGGTTGGCAATCAGGCACCACAAGACTCTATTGCTTATAAAAATGGGATCCAACTTGTGGTCGCCAAGAGGGAGGGAGTATGGGGGAGGGAAAGGGTTGGGAGTTTGGGACTAGCAGATGCAAACTAATACATGCAGTGTGGATAAACAACAAGGACCTACTATATAGCACAGGGAACTGCATTCAACGTTCCGTAATAAACCATGATGGAGAAGAATATGAGAAGGAATATACACGTATAGCTGAATCACTTCACTATACAGCAGAAATTAACACAAAACGCTGTAAATCAACTATCCTTCAATAAAATAATTGAAAAAAACTGGATCTATATCCCATATTTCTCTATATCTGAGGTCACTGACCATGGTTTAGGAGAATAAATGAAGTAGGTCCTTTTATCATTCTGCCTAATAAGGTGAAACAATGTTCCCAGGGTTGGTGTAAGTTTTTGCAAATTACATTTAGGAGAGTATTTCTCTTACTGATTATGAACTAAATTGACTGTGTTGTCTCTGAGAATCAATTTTTCAGAGAATGATAAGCTTCGGTATGTGTGGCTGTGTTCACATGTGTGAGCCTCTGTGTGTGTGTGTATGCAGGTGCATGAATACTATTATTTTCCTGCTGAATAGCAAGCAAGATCTCAGAGGACATACACACCTTATGCTGATAAGTGATCTTAAGCAGGAGGGAACTTGGGCCAGCAACACCATCCAGGACTGTTTTATTCGTCCCAAGATTCAAAACCCTTTTGAATGGGCATGCCAGTGATGATGACCTTTGGACCACGGAGCATTCCTACTGTTTTCCTCTAGGCTACTGAGGATCTTTTCCTTAAATACAACCCCAATGCCTGTCTGAACAATGCACTTTAGGTGAAAGAATCTGTGACTTATAGTACATCAGAATATATACTCAGGGGCAGGAAGTATGTCTGTTCCTGAGGGTAGGACTTAGGGCATGTGAGGGTACCTTTTCAAAAAGATAGAGGGGATTTACACGACAGAGGATTTAAGAGGGCAGAGAGACAACCATAGCCAGGAGCTGGATTTTGTCCACCTGTGATGAGTTTTCTTTGGTTCTGGGGTTTATGCCCCTCAAACCATGAGGATAGGCATATTTTGTGTATAGTTTAAAATTTTTGCTTCTCTTGTTAAACCACACATTTTCAAGCACCATAATACTCTACAATTGCAAACATTTCTACAACCTTTTATTGTGGTATTACTAGGAATAAATGAGTGGGCAGGAGAAGTGTGGTTTTCCCTCTCTTTTTTCTTCCATAGAACCCCAAACCACGACAAGCAGCGTCTTAGCAGTTGAGCATTGTGCTTCAGACTATCTAGCTTCAAATTCCAGACATGCCTCCCACTGACGATGCAATCATGCACAAGTTAACTTCTCTGTGCTTTCCTTTCCTTATTAATTAAAAAAATAGACTAATTTTAGTGTATATATCTACTATTAATTAAGTTAATCTTTAAAAGTAATTTACTAACCTCATAGGTATTTCGTGACAATGAAATGTGATGACATATGCAAATGGTTTAGGAGTGTTTACTACAAGAAAATGTTCATTAGATGCTTATGACTATGATTAGTATATTGGGAGCAAAACCAAAGAATTCTAAAATGTGCCTAAGATCAAATTCAACAAAGGTTCTCATGGAGCTAAAACTAACATGGACCATCAACTACATGTAACTAGTACAGAAGTGAACATGATAATACAAATCTCCTTTACTCCTAAATAAACTTGCAAGAGAAGTCCTTTAAAGGGGGCGTTATAAGAAGAATGGACACAGAGCCTGGAGAAGAGTGGCTTGAATTGCTCTTGGATCAACCCACTTAAGTGTGAAAGGCAGTCAGCCCTCAGGCAGAGAGGCAGACAAGAGTGAGAGACAGCCTGCAGAGATCTGGATTAGATACTATCAGGATTTCAAAGTAGTTGACCTATTAATAGCCCTGGACCAAGCATTTGGCCTTATGGATAGAAGCAGAAATTAGCATGTTCAATTTGTGACCACATATCAGAGACTGAGAAAAACTGCCTGCCAAGGTACTGGGGTTAGAGAAATGGTTTGAGAGGCAGAGGGAAGGGAGCAACATAACATAGGATTGGAGAAAGCAATGACTCAAGATTTTCACAGTAAAATACTACATAAATTTAGATTTCTGAAGAAGAGCTCTCCCACTGTTAATTAAAGAGGAAGACTAGAGAAAAGACATTCCATTGGCCTAAAAGAGAATATGTAAGGTTTAGAGCTGACATTCTAGGCTGAAGCTTAACCTTCTTATTAGAGACTAAGGTAGATAGATATAGCCTGGCAACCAGAGTCCTGCCCACAGATCCCATGGCTTCCAAGACTGGGAAAAAGTATAAAAAATAACAGACTTTATTTTACTTTTGGCATTTGCAGTAGCCAACTTTATTATCCAGGGATGAAATGGGATTTGTTTCACAACTAAAACAAGGCGACATTATTCAAAGATTGACATTCAAAATCAGATTATGTAGAAGACAATAGCCTCGAAGGCCAGATAACTGTTTGTGGGGAAAAAAATGGAAAGGGATTAGCCAACTCTCTTTAGCTCCTTCTCAAGTCAACAATTAAAACCGAAGTACTCAGAGAAAACTTCATGGTTGAGAGTGAATGTGCCCAAAGACTATAATGCCTAGGTCTACTGTATCATAGAAAGATGTGTATGATTCAGAGGAAGGAAAAAAAATCAGTGTCCTCCACTTTTCCAGCTCCAGGAGAAAGCTGGGAGGGTTGGCAGAAAGAACAAGAAAGCAAATATCTCACTTATCCCTGGAGGGCTCCAGAAGTGGAGTTTGACAGGTTGGCAGAGGAAAATCTTGCCCTATGTCCTGTCTGGGACATTGGGAGGGAGTTCCCCTTACATAATTGTCCTTTACTGATATGGGGCAGAAGCTCCTCACAGTGACCATAGGGAAAAGCAAAGACAGCAAAAGGGGACCCCAAGGAGAGCTTTTCTAAACCACCCCTGTTCGTGTATGGAGTGGACACTGAGTTGAAAGCCAGTGGGCCTGCCTTGGGGTTTGCTGTGGGACACAAAGATGTTCTAAAGACATAGACTTGCGGGGGTGGTGGGGGATTGGCAACGGGTTGGGGGAGAAATGAGCCAGTGGGTTCAATGAAGGTCTCAGTCAGTCAGCAGAGGCTAAGAGGCCATTTTCCCTTTCCATTCAGCAAAGGGAAAATGGCCTATGTTTCCTGGGAGTACTGCCTGAGACATAAATAAAAAATGGACCATGAGTTCACCAGGTACAGAGTATGAGTACCAGAAAAATGCAGTGTGACTGTACATGGGGAATTAGCATGAGACAAATCCGTGGGTTCCTTGACAATTAAAATAAGTCCCAGGGACTGTTTTTTCTGAGTTTAGTGATTGAAGACATAAATCAATACTACTCATGTATTCTGCTACCAAATGTGTTTTGTTTGGCCTTCGTGGCTCAGTCGTGCTTTTTTAATTATGCAACACTAAATACCAGAGGAAGTCACACAAATATCCAGATCTGTGGATACTTTAAAATCCACATTAAAAAAGATTTTGTGTATTTTGAATCAATGAAGTATTGTCAGTGCTGAACCTGAAATACTACATGGCTACCATTAGCCCGAGCTCCAGAGCTGCTACCTTTTCAGTCAAGGGTTGTCCAGTTTCTTACAGCCTCTATTGCTCTCTCTTTTCTCCAGATGTAACCAATTTAACCTAGTTCATAACACCTGGCTGGCAGTTTTGCAATCAACATGCAAATATTAATTAGGATTCTATTGTTTGCAAGTACCAGTAATAGGAATCAAAGTAGCTTAAATAAAAAGGGGAATTTCTTCTAAGGATACTCTGGTGTCTCATGGCATAGAAGGAGAGACACAGGAACAAATTTTAATACAGACACACCAAATATCCCCATCTTTTCTGCCCCTTCTATAAATATACATTTTTCTTTTTTCTGGCCAGAGAGAGAAAAGAGGAGCTCTCTCCCGGCCATTATTAAGAGCTTCAAATTTACACCTCCTCTGCCCTAGGATGGAGCCAGCCCACTTTGGAATCCAGTCCCTTTCTGAGTTCTTCGGAAAGGACACTGCACACGCAGCCTTAGGGAGCCGCCCACTGTACATATCTGCTGAGCCACAGCGTCTCTGGCCCTTTCCTCCTCCTCCCCACCTCCAGGCACAGCAGGTTCCTATCCACAGCCTCTGCAGGTGCTATTTCTGTTCATGGCTCTCTATGATGAACCACTGAATAGAAAACCTTGGCAGCATGATGGTCTTCTTGCACAGATATTGTTCCCAGAATACTGCAAGATCATACTAGTTCAGAAAAAGTATGGAATCTTTCTCTATTCTCCCTCCCTGGAGGGAAGATAAAGAACTGTGCTGAGCCACTACAGAAAACAGTACGGAAGTTCCTCAAAAAACTAACAATAGAACTGCCATATGATACCGAAATCACATTCCTCAACAGACATCTGGAAAAAACTGTCATTCAAAAAGATACATGAACCTCTGCATTCATAGCAGCACTATTCACAGTAGCCAAGACATGGAAACAACCTAAGTGTCCATTAATAGATGAATGGATAAAGAAGCTGTGGTATATACACACACATACATACACACATACACACAAATCGGTAAAAAAGATGTGGTATATGCACGCACGTGCATGGAGTACTCCTCAGCCATAAAAAAACAATGAAATAATCCCATTTGCAGCAACATGGATGGACTGAGAGATGATCATACTAAGTGAAGAAAGTCAAAAAGACAAATACCATGTGATATCACTTACACGCGGAATCTAAAATACGACGCAAATGAACACATCTATGAAACAGACTCACAGACACAGAGAAGAGACTCGTGGTTGCCAAGAGGGAGGGAGGCTGGAGGAGACAAGGCGTGGGAGTTTGGGATCAGCGCACACAAGCTCTTATATGTAGAATGGACCGATAACAAGGTCCTACTGCACAGCACAGGGAGCTATATCCAAAATCCTGTGATAAATCATAACGGAAAAGAACATACATATGTATATATAACAGAATCACTTTGCTGTAGCACAGAAATTATCACATTATAAACCAACTATATTTCAATAAAATAAATTTCAAACAAAAGAAGGAGAACTGCCCTGATTTTGAAAGAGCAGTGCCCTTCAGAACACAAGTCAGAATTAGACAAATCAAAACCAAAAGAAATGAAGCTATAATGGCACAAGAAATTCAAGATTAGGAAGAAAAACAAGTAAACAGCAGATAAAGAAAACAGTCTGATTCAGTCTGACTCTGCTCAAAGAAATATTTTACGCTTGAGGCCAGGTCTCTTGGGACCAGTAAAAGCCATTACAGAAATTAATCATGCAGCATTATTATTTCCAAGCCAAATTATATTCCTTATTTTTAAACATTTTAACTTCATTTAATTTTCTAACTATAAAATAATAGATGGCTATTATAACTTTAAACGATTTTAGGAATGTAAAAAGAAGTTGATGTTTTTGCCTATTCCCCTCACACATAACATCCACTCTCAAATCACACATAATTTCAAGGTAAGCAGTTTACAGTGTGACTACAATCAAATGCAGTTAAATTCCTCAATAATAAAGCTGATAAAGTGGAATAGAAAGCCTCCTCCACTAGTGGAGTGGAGAGACCCTAAAGCAGATCTGATCCCCTGGAAATACTTTCTCTCCCAGGCAAGACCCCCTGCTGGACAACGTTGTGATTGCCACAGGATTAGGCTGCTCTTCTCAAGGGTTCATTTCAAGGAGAAGCAGAGGCATTGTCTCAAGGCTTTCATTCCTTCAGCAAATATTCACTGATCCCACCTCTAGATATGAAGAATTGTCTCAGGAGCTGAGAAGACAGCTATAAATATCATAGCCAGTGGTTGCTACTCTCATGAAATATACACACAAGTAATCAGGTAAAACAATGAAGGTTGATAGATCCCTCGTAGCTCAGTCGGTAAAGAATCTGCCTGCAGTGCAAGAGACCTGGGTTCGATCCCTGGGTCGGGAAGATCCCCGGGAGAAGGAACTGGCAAGCGACTCCAGTATTCTTGCCTGGAGAATCCCATGGACCGAGGAGCCTGGCAGGATACAGTCCATGGGGTCGCAAGAGTCGGACATGACTTCGTGACTAAACCAAAACCCTGTGTTATTAACAATCCAGAGAGGGTCCTGGGTGTGAAACACGAAATGACTAGGTGGTGAGGGAAGAGCTCTGGAGATGGTGCCATTGAGAGAAAGAAGGACGAATGTTTGTTCAGTGTGGAATAGTGGATGGGAAGGATGTGCAGAGATCCAAAGGCAAGTTAAAAGGGTATGTTTATTCAAGGAAATCAAGGATGAAGAGGGCTGCAGATTAATGAGATGAGAAACCAGGGAGACTGACTTCCTTTAGTTGCTATGGGAAGAACAGTTTAGAGAAGAAGTGAGAACACTGATTAGGAGGTGCATGGCGTGTAGTGTTTAGTATTAGAGTTTCAGTAGTAAAGACAGAAAAATGGAAGCATCTGAGATACACTTTGAGTGAAAAGGTACTGACCTGCTAGGAGGGAGAGAGGACTGAATATCAAAGACTCCCAAGTACTTGCTATATGCCACTGGGTAGAAGTATCTCTACTCACTGAGGAATCCTCGACGTGTGGCATGAAAAGGGGAGATGATTCAACTCACACATGTTACATCTGAGAGGTAAGTGAGCCGTTCGTGTAAAGATGGCAAAAGGGCCGTAAATATGTGACTGCATAGCTCAGGAGAAAAGGCTGAGAAGTCACATTAAAGCAGGGGGAGGGGTGCATGTGGAAGATGTGATGCGTTTCTGTGTCTGACTAGGCTAGGCAGTGTCCAGCTAGCTGATAAAATGTTACTTCGCGGTGCATTTGTGAGGATGTTTTCAGAAAAGCTTAGCATTTGAGTCAGTAGACTGGGTAAAGAAGATCACTTTCACCAATGAGGGTGGGCATCATCTAATCCACTGAACAGAACAGAAATGTGGAAGAAGGGCAGCTGTGCTCTCTGCTTGAGCCAGGGCAGGCACCCAGAATCCTGGTTCTCAGGCCTTTGGACTCAGACTGAATTTACCAGACTTTTCCTGGTCCTCCAGCTTGCAGACAGTTGACTGTGGGACCTCTGGGTGTCCATAATCATGTTAACCATTTCAGTCAACCACTCAATCAATCAATCATCAATCCTACTGAATCTGTATCTCTAATACAAATTTTGGTTCTGAGAATGGTTCTGCTTAGTCGCTCAGTCGTGTCCCACTCTTTGTGATCCCATGGACTGCGTCTGCTAGGTTCCTCTGTCCGTGGAGATTCTCGAGGCAAGAATATTAGAGAGGGTTGTCATGCCCTCCTCGAGGGGATATTTCCAACCCAGGAATCGAACCCAGGTCTCCCACATGGCAGGCAGATTCTTTACCAGCTGAGCTACCAGGGAAGCCCGAGAATGGTTTTAGAGGAAGAGAATTTTAAAGATGAGTTTTCTGAATCAGTTCTGGGGCTTCTGAATTGGCTCTCTAATTTGATTAGATTTAAAGATACTAATGACTATTTCTAGTAGTATAGATAGCAGTGACAGTCCATGCCAAGATCTGGAAATAGAGATAAGCAGTGTATCTCCACCCAATACTCCTAATCAGCCACTTTCAAGAAACAAGAATCAGATGACTGTGTCTTTATACTTTAAAACTTTTATGTGGAGATCTAACAATTAAGATTACCTAGTTACTCCCCGTGTCAGACAATGTGGTAAGAGGATGACTTCGGGGATTTGAAATTTCCAGCTCAAGGACCACATAAATGACTGGAAGCTTCTGCGTGTGCCATGCAGACCTTTAGCTCCTCCTGGAGCTAAGGGCTGAAATTGCTGAAAACCAAACACAGAACCTCATACTGTGTATCTACAATTAGAAAAGAATAGGACACTGTAAGATGGGATGATAAATGTAGCAATGCGGAGCCTCTAAATTATGGAGTCTCCTTTGCTGGTGGAAGAGTCTTCCCATCCCCATAATAATTTAATTCGACCATACTTAATTTCATTATACACATAGCTTTGATAGTTGCGGTAAATAATACTAAATATGAGACATGTATGCATATACTGCCCTTAAAGAGCTGAATCTTCTTCGGAGGATAAGAAATACATACTTGGAAAAGTAATTAGAATAAAAAGCATGGTATGAGTATCAGGACTTAGGATGTAAATAAGAATGATTGGGAATAACATACTTGAGTTGGCCCTTTAAATAGATTTAAAATGAAAGGATTTGAGAACTGAAAGCAATTAACATATCTAATGTAATTCCATTTAATAACTGAGAAAACAAACACAGAGAAACTGACTTGTCCCAATTATGATAGCAGCTTACTGGGAACAGAACTCTGGTCTCCTGATTCCTGACTCTTCGCTGTTTCCTTTGCAACCACTGCCTTGGTGACTGCTAAAAAAAAAGGAGAGAAAGAGAGGTGAGCAAAGAAGGCCCTGTATAAGCACTCGGAGAAATGTACATCCTTGTCTTACATACATATGGATGATGATATCATCCATATCATCAGCATCCTTCACTGCTGATATGTGAATACTCAGTGAGTAGACTGGTGAAGGGCTCCTATTATGAAGTATCAAAAAGTAAGACTAGAATGGAATGAGCACCTTGGGATGAAAAAATAAGATTAAACCAAAGAAAATATTAACAGTCTCAGTCTAGGTATTTTAGATGTTAAATAAGAAATAAAAGCAAGTGCTTTATGAATTTCAAAACAGGTCAGATTCCAAAGGCTGAAAGTAATCAGGGCTGGCTTAGTGGAAGGGATAAATTGGAGATGAACATTCAAGAGTTATAGGATTTGAGAGAAGAGGATAATTTAGATAAGGTAAGGAAATCCTAGGACCTGGAAAGTCAGGCTGAAAAGGCATGATGGCTCAAGATGATGCAGGGTACGGAAATCCAAAGTTAAACAAACCAAGTAGCTTTGAGGAGAGTGAAGAAAGAAGACTAACTAGAAGCTTGAGTAGAGGGTACCTGGGAAATAGGCTGAAAAGGCATGATGGCTCAATGGTGCAGAGTCCCAGGAAGGCTGACTGTACTCTGACAGAGACCACTGCAGGTGCTTAAGCAGAATAACCTGGTTAACGTTTTAGACTCATATGGCAATGACATACAGGATGGACTGAGCCAAGAGAATAAAAGGGAAGGCCAAGAGCTATTTTTCTAATAAGAATAATATGGAATTTTATAGACTAAAGAATACGATACAATATTTATATACAGTGAGCTATTATTGCATAGACACTACGCTAGCTTTTCTCATTTGATTCTCCCAGAACCATATGAAGGAAGTCAAATTAATCATCTCCATTTTTAAAATGAGAAAACAGAATCTACATAACCTGCCCAGGTCACAAATCCAGGGAGTGGAGGAGTCAGAATTTGAGCCCAGATAACATGACCCCACAGCTTATAGTCTTAGCTTCTATGCCATATCCCTCAGTATTATTAAATGTCTCTGAAAGAATCCAAGAACAAAATAATTAGGGCTGAACTAGTGATTAGTAGTGAAAAGAAAATGTAAAGAAGAGATGAGACTTTACAAGGAAACAAAATGACAGAACTTAGTATTTAAGAGATAGATGGGGATGAGAAAGAGTGAAAAATGATCATCCCTTCATGGGTGAAAACACAAGGAAATAATAATACCATTCACCCTTGGAAATCACACAGGTGAATTCAGACGGGAAAGATGAGTAGTATTTCAGATATGTTGCATTTGGAAAGATGAAAAGATATCCATGTAGAAATTAGAGTATGCAGATAAGATACATTTTAAAAACTCAGGAGAGAGGTAGGATTGACATTATAGGTTTTTGAAATTATCTCACATAAAATGAATAGAGGAAGCAACAAAATTATTTAAGCTCTTTAAGGGGGTGGGGTGGAAGAACCACTCTCTGGGGACCAGCAACGTTGAAAGGCAGGAGAGCGGCAAGAGCAGAAACAGGATAGGGCAGTCTCCCAGAGTTCAACAGATGAGACTTTCAAGAAGAGAGCAGCTGCCTTCTAATTCACTCTCTCTTCTCTCCTGGAAGATCTCATTCTCACTTATTCCTTACACTATTATCCACACACATGCAAGTAAGAAGTAAGAGAGGGCTACAGTTGAAGGAGTTTGAATATGTCAACAAAGGGCTGAGGTAAGCAAAGATATCACAAAGGAGTGATTGACTTAAGCATGAGTATGTAACTAGTTGAAAGCAATATTTGAATGTACAAAGACACAGATGGGTTAATTAAACCAGTTAGGCAGAATCAGGGAAAGCATCTGGAAAAGGGCTGTGTTACCACCAAAAGGTAAGGAAGCTATGTTAATCTACATCACTTAAACACAATCAGCAAAATTCAGATTATGCGAAACACCACAGGACCAACAACCAGGCTCCTTCAAACGAAATGCAAGGGAGAAATATGGAGGTGGAACGTGTAGAATGAGAGAAGCTTGAACCAATCACAACCAATCACAACTATCAACCAATCACAATGTGTGAACTGGATAGGATCCTAAGTTAAAGAAGCACAGTAAAGGGAAAAAAAAACCTATGCACAAGTAGAAACTAAGGAAATACATTAAATATTTTAGCTATAAGATTGTGGTTATGCTTTTTAAAAGTCCTTTATGTTTTTAGAAATCATAGTGCTATATTTATACATTTTTGATGCTTGATATGTGCTTCAAATAAATACAGGAGTTATGTGGATAGTGATACAGAAGTAATGAGATTGCTATTCAGTCTCTCAGCTGTGTCCAACTCCTTGCAACCCTATGGACTGCAGCACGCCAGACTTCCCTGTCCTTCACCATTTCCAGGAGCTTGCTCAAACTCATGTCCATTGAGTCATGAGGCCATTCAACCATCTCATCCTCAGTCATCCCCTTCTCCTCCTGCCTTCAATCTTTCCCAGCATCAGGGTCTTTTCCAGTGAGTCAGCTCTTCGCATCAGGTGGCCAAAGTACTGGAGCTTCAGCTTCAGCATCAGTTCTTCCAATGAATATTCAGAACTGATTTCATTTAGGATTGACTGATTTGATCTCTTTGCAGTCCAAGGGACTCTCAAGAGTCTTCGCCAACACCACAGTTCAAAAGCATCAATTCTTCAGTGCTCAGCCTTCTTTATGGTCCTACTATCACACCCATACGTAAAGAGATTGGCCAGAAGTTAATAATTGCTGGAGCTGGGCATTGAGTTCATGTAGCTTCATTTTTTCCATATGTTTGAAATTTTCCTCACTACATTTTTTTTGAAGATGCAGTTTTCTTTGCAAGAATAGGATTTTCTTCCATTTACTGTACTTTAGATGACCTTGGTTAAGTTTTCTTGACCTGGGTTATGGATTTTAAGGAATCATGGGGATTATCAAATCAGATCTAGCCAAAGCTAGAAAATGAAGTGGTCATCAAAAAACAACGACTTAGAACACAAGGTTCCACCTGAAATGTGACAGGAGATAGATGCTTCAAGTTACTAAAGGGTTTCAAAGATAAAATTCTAACAAAAAGGACAAGAAATTAATAAGGGATGTGTGTAAGGAGTTTGTTGAATGAGCAAAGCAATAGTTAAGAAAAACGATTCTGTCCACTCTTGTTTCTAAGACAAAGTAGAGATTCAATGCCAATGAAAAAGACATGCAGGGATGAGATGACCAAACCACAAAATGGGATATTTGTTCATGAGAAAAGAATGTGCGCTAAAGGCGTGTTAAGACACTGGAGATCCAGGGGTAGGGTCATTCAAACCTCTGCAAAACGACTTCTGCCATCTTCTCCTCTGTTTATTCCTTTTTCCTCAACAATCCAAAGTGCACAGGTCCTAGGAAAAAGGTGGTAAGAGTAAGGGATAACTGAAGCTTGGAGGAAAAGGTTAAAGATCATTTTCTCCCTCTCAATCCTGAATTTAACAAGTCGTGTAAATTAAATGTCACCTTCCTATTTGCATGAGGTGGGGTATAGAACGCTCAGGACTTGGAAGGACAAGTTGCTTTACACAGGTTGCAGGGAGGTGACTGGGACCTTGGGCTGTGAAGACCTCTACCCTTCTCTTCTAGGCCTCACCCTCAAGAATTCCCAAAGCCCTAGAACGTTTTTTCCAGGTATGTAAACAAAACCGCATTTAAGGGTTAAGATTATGGGAAGGGAGTAGAAGGGAGCATTTGAGCTTAAGCGAGGGCTGCGTCTAGCAAGGAAGTCGGGGTGGCAGAATCAGTTTGAGAGTCACGTTGGCAAGCGCTGGAGACTCACAATGGGTCAAATCAGAGAGCCTAGCAAGCCAGGGAAAGGACTGCGCTTTATACGGGTCTTTATGCGGAAACTGCGCTTGTCAGACTCCGGGGAGACTGCTGCGGAGCCGGGTGAGGTGGAGTGGGGAGGAGGGGGCGGTGGAAGAGGAGGAATCGGGGGAGAGGGCTTCAAAAGAGGGAAGAGATTGATTCCCCTGAGGTAGACGGAACGTTTAGAACGCCTCTCCCAAAATCCAGCTATCTCGCTGTTCGGTAACCTGGAGAGTTAACCGAGCCTCAGAAGTCCGCCCCTCCCCTTCGGGTCACCTGCTGGCGACGCCGCGGCGGTTCCGGGTTACGCGCTCGAGCTTGGCGGCGTGCGGCCCTCGCCGAATCCGAGCCGCGAGTCCCAGGCGTCTTCCCGCCCGTGGGGGCGGGCCAAGAGAAGATACGCACCAATCGGGATGGAGACTTTCAAGACGTTAACTATGGGCCAATAAGAAGACGGAGGGCGCGGACTGGGGGGCGGGACGGTTGGCTCTTCGGGTTTAAACCTGGGCGGCCGAGCCGTTAACGGCAGCTTGGACGCGTTTGCGACGTGTACTCCTGTGAGCTGCGGGAAGCTAGCTGAAACCTGCGGTGGTGCGATAGCCGCGCCGCGGGACTCGGTGCGGCCGACGGACATCGGCTGGGCAGGTAAGCGGGCAAAGAAGGGGAGAAGTGGTACACGCCCCCCCCACCAGGGCCTCCCGCCCGCCCACGGCTGTAGAGATGGGGCTCTGAGTAGCGAGGAGTTGGAGTCTCCCTCCTCTGGTTGCCGTTCCCCCGGGCATTCAGTGCAGAGTCCAGGTGTGCGGCCTCCGGGGGCACGTGTGAGCGGCGCCGTGCGTGCCCCCGACGCGCCCGAATCCCGAGGTCACGTTATGCTCCCACTGCCGGTCCACTGCCCGCCGGGCGGCTGCCGCGGGGAGGACCCCAGTGGTCCGTCCACCCGGCTCTGCGAGGCGACCGGGCTTTGGGGCGGCGGGAGCCGTGCCCGCGGAGGAGTCAGCTTCGTCGGAGGCTGGCCCCGAGCGTGCGAGACGGTGACCACGCCCCGGGCCAGCTGGTGCAGATTCTGTGTTGTTATTGTGAAGGGAGAAACCTCTTCTTCTACTTGGTTTCACCTTTGTCAAATTCTGTTACAGTGCGAGAAACTCTTTGCCTACTGAGTTAGGATAGCGTGTAGAATTGAAGAACCCTTTAGTCTTGCCCCAGAATGAAAAAAAAAACAACTTTTTTTCCATGGTTATAAAAGTTATACAGTCTCACTATTTTTAGAAATCCAAGCACTGGTAAATACATACTAAAAAAGGAAGAAAATACTCGCGATTCTTATCAGCCACAGATAAAAAATCTGTTCATATTTGGGTTTACTTCAGATATTTAGACTGTAAAGTGTATTTATTTTGCATATAACAAAGCATTTTCATTTAAAAAGCAGATCATGCCTCAGTCCCTAGTATTTCAGGAATAAGACATTTGATCCATATCAAATGTAGACATTCATTATCATTTTTAATGGGGGCAGAATATTTCTTGCTGTGGCTCTACTATGCCATATTATTTAACATGTCCCCTAATGGATGGACATGTTTTTCTAATTCATCATCAGAAAACAGTATGGTCGTGGTTACTTGCAGACGTATATGTTTGCATTCTTGTCCAGTTTGTCTCCTTAGAATAATTTCTTGGAAATGGATGGTGGCTTCCAAAAAATGGTACAGTTTAAATTCCGATTCAGGGTGGGAGGGAGGCTAAACAGGGAGGGGATACACACTTATGGCTGATTCCAATACAGCACGGCAGAAACCAATACAGCATTGTAAAACAATCAGAAATAAATTCTGGTTCATAATGCCAGAGTGCCCTCTAGAAAAACTGTGGGTTCCCCCTCCCCCACCCCCCTCAGCAGTACAGAGTGTAAGAGTAGATATTTGTCCACACTCTGCCCTGCATTAAAAAATCTTACCAATCTAAAAGGATAACTTAATGTTTTTATTTGCATTATTAATGAGATGGAACTTTTTATGTTTATTAGTCATGATTTCTTTGATAAATCGTCTCTTTTGTCTATTCTGCCGCTGTGTGTCACTTTTCATAGCTCTCTAAGAGGAATGTGAATTAGTGATTTTCAACCTGTTATATAATTTCCACTAGTCCGTTGTTTCTTTGGATTATGGTTATCTTTTTTTAGGGTATTTTGTTTTCTTTTGTTCTAATATTGCCGTGCTTGAAGCTACACACTTCACTTCCAAGAAGTAGAGGAATTTGTTCTAACTCAGCAAAGTTTAGAATCTTAACTAGTGACCCAGCCCCTCTTCCAATTTTAAACCCTTCCCTTCCATTCTTGAAATCCTTTCATTTGTAACTAACTCAATCGAACACTTCAGGTTTTGACAAGATACTGCTGGATATTTTGGTACAGATAATATCTGTATTTATCTACAAAATACAAGCTGTTCTAGCATCTGTGTGAAAGTTTCCCTATAGGTAAGGAGAAAGGATTATCAGTTCTTTATATTAAAAAAGAAAGAGAAAAAACTGACAGCTACTTACGGATCTTGCTAAATTGTATATTTTATTATTTGCAAATACCTGTCTTCATACACAAGAAAAAGTGTGCAATAATTTGACTGCAAAGAAAACATGCTTAATCATAGTATAGTACACATGCCATTAAAAAAAAAAAAAATCACTTTGGGCTTTAGTGTTGGAAATCCACCCAGCCCAGTGTCCTGTTCCATTTCTGTCCCTACTTTCCTCTGTTCTGTATTTATCTCTTTGGTAGGTAGTTTTGTATTGCATGAACATTGAAATGGATGGTATAATAGTTCTCGAAAAGCACCATTTTATTTATATATGTAACATATACTTACATGTTATGTATATAAAATCTTGTTTAAACTTCACAACCTATTGAAATAATTGTTTTCCAAAGTAAAAGCTAAGCCCTGCTTTACTACTTACATTCATTTAGTCCTTACCATGGGTCAGACTTTGGAGTTTGTACATTGTACTATACAATACAGATAATTCTGCAAAGTTACATTTGGGGACTTCTGATTTGCTTCATCTCTGATGCTTGTCCTGAGTTTTTCTTTCTTTTTTTTTGTCCTGAGTTTTTCTATGGCAACTACCAGAAATAATGTCACTAAATCCTTATTCTCCTAGATTTGATAATACATCTACATTAACCTTGAAAGGATTTCACTTAAGATCAAATACCTTTATCCTCTCTCTTTTGCTTCTATTATAGACTCTCCTAAGCATGGCTTTTTAGTTAGTTGCTTTTTGTCTCATGTATCATTTTTTAGAGTTGATTTTTTTGATTCCCTAACTCTCTTCTTTTCCTAGGTTTTTTTTTGTTTGTTTGTTTGTTTTTTTCAATTGAAAACTAACGCCAGTGAAAGTACATTGAAATAAGGTAGAAAGTTAAAAAAAATAAAATGCTTTGGTTTGTTCTTACATGTTTTAAGTGGGAATATTTTGCTACACTCCATGATTATGCTAAAAACAGAAGCATCTTTATCTCAAAATTAAAGGAGAAAGACCATTTGTGGCTCATATAGCACTATTAATAGATGGAAAAGCTTCCTAAAAGATGCTGTGTTTTATCTACTTAAGTCATTTTCACTAACCAGTTTATCAAATATATGTTTTGTGTTTTTAAGTTTTGACACTTGGGCAAAGCTCTTTATGAGAACTCAGATGAGTAGTGTCATTTGCTTTTTTTTTTTAATTTTTCCATTTATTTTTATTAGTTGGAGGCTAATTACTTTACATCATTGCAGTGGTTTTTGTCATACATTGAAATGAATTAGCCATGGATTTTTAAAATTTGCTTTTAAAAAGAACAGCACAACAAATCAGATACTTGTGGGTTCTGGTTTTAATGAATTTGAACACAAGGCACAGGTTTCCAGGTGTATGTAAATACATGTCCATTTAAAAATTTCTTCTTGTCTCCGGCGTCGGCAGTGGTGTCGGCTGCGAGTGGGAAATGGCGGAGTACTTGGCCTCCATCTTTGGCACCGAGAAAGACAAAGTCAACTGTTCATTTTATTTCAAAATTGGAGCATGTCGTCATGGAGACAGATGCTCTCGGTTGCACAATAAACCGACCTTCAGCCAGACCATTGCCCTCTTGAACATTTACCGTAATCCTCAAAACTCTTCCCAGTCTGCTGACGGTTTGCCCTGCGCTGTGAGCGATGTCGAGATGCAAGAACATTATGATGAATTCTTCTTTGAGGAGGTTTTCACAGAAATGGAGGAGAAGTACGGGGAGGTGGAGGAGATGAACGTCTGTGACAACCTCAGAGACCACCTCGTGGGGAACGTGTATGTCAAGTTTCGCCGTGAAGAAGACGCGGAAAAGGCTGTGATTGACTTGAACAACCGCTGGTTTAACAGCCAGCCAATCCACTCCGAGCTCTCCCCAGTGACAGACTTCAGAGAAGCCTGCTGCCGCCAGTACGAGATGGGGGAGTGCACGCGAGGCGGCTTCTGCAACTTCATGCACCTGAAGCCCATCTCCTGGGACCTGCGAGGGGAGCTGTATGGGTGCCGGCGCAAGCAGCATAGATCGCTGTCCCGAGACCTTGGTCGCCGCGGTGGAGGAGGCAGAGGGCGGGAGTGGGACAGGAGGTGGTCAAACGACCAGGAAAGGTCCGGAGATTCTGAGCCATGCCATTTCTACCGTATCTCTGCTAGAAAGTGTTGTAGTTCATTGACCAAACCAGCTCATAATGGGAATTTTTTTTAAAAAAAAACAAAAACAAAGATGGGTCTCTAAATAAAATTTGTAGTGATTAAAAAAAAAAATTAAATGAAAATTTCTTCTTGTTTCTCCTAGCTCTAGTTCTCCTGGAGAGGAATGAAGGAATGTTTAAACTTCTTATTCAAGAAAGACTTCTTTAACCTAATGGTGCTTTGTTGCCTCCTAGATCTTGGTGAGTTTTCTGTGGTTAAATGATGCTTTTAAGTTCTGCATCAACACAAATCCTCTTCGTTGGTTCCTCAAAAACAGTATTTTCTTCCTCTTGTGTGTCACTACAGTCCCTTTTGGCTTTTGTTTCTTCCTCCTGGGATAAATGTGGGTGTTCAATGCGTCCCCTACGTACAAAATGCTGGATCCGGGATTCTAATCCTTGGCATTTAGGACGATCCATTAGGGGCTTATAAGTGCGCATTTTCACTCCTTCTACAAAGGCACTGGTCTGCTTCATGACAGAGGGCTTAACATTTCTCCATTCTATCATTCCATCCATCTTTGGTCCTGTAATATATACAGTCAAGCATTATAGTGGATACTTGACCACAACAGAATCACTTCCAAACTCTGTGACTCTCCCTCCACCACAACCCTGTATAACTTTGGTTCCCATCATACCTGTTCCACAGGGCAGTGCAACAGAGTCCAGGCCTTGTAGCATACTATACAACATCTGAGTCTTCACAGCATGATTAGCCCATAGTTGCTGAAGGTGGGTAACATTGAACTCCTGAACTTCCCGGTCATAGATCCACTTAATCTTTTCAAACTTACAGTCATAGAGGACTAAAGGAAATTCCACAGCCATGCTAGACAAGAAACAGGATGAGAATACACAGCAGCCATCCAGCAGGTCTTAAAAACCAGGATCAGCTGGCTTAGGAGCAGGGGCGAAACTTTGTCAATATGGAGTATCTAATAGTTGAGAAGATATGACACCATCCCTCATGTTGAACAACCTTATAACTAAAAAAAAGAAAAACGCAGCAAACCATGGCTCACTTAGTTAGGCTTGATCTACATTACAGAAAATTTCAATTGTAACAAGTCACCTAGAAGTGAGTTGACTTGGCCCCACCATAATGCTGTGAAACTATCTAAGGGGCCTGGTCCAGACACCTGTTACTTACTAAAGGGATACAACAATGACAGAAGAAAATGAAAAGGCAATCACTGTTACATGTTCATAACATTCTACAAGTAAGAGTAAAAGCCTCATGAAGGGAGAATCAGAAACTTAGTTTTTTAGACAATGGTGGGGAGAGGAAGAATATTTTAAAATATATTCTAATATATCTAAGGGCAATAGCTTCTTTTTGGGGGGGGGACAGTCTGGGTTTGTGTTTTTAACTTACCTATATTGGGGCTTCTGGGGATTTTTCTCTATGTTCAGCAGCTCATCAATAACCTCTGGCTTCTCCATTCCTTGGCCAATCAGAAAAAGAATAGCCATCATACAGCGGACTTGATGATAAAGGAACGCCTGACCAGTCACTTCAAACTGGCATAACTGAAAGGGTTCTTGCCATCCCTCCTCGGCCAGGTTCTGGCCCACTCGCTGTACTTGAGCAGACAGGATGGTTCTCTGAAAATTAATCACCCCATTGGCTACATCCATTTTACATAAGTTCCTAAAATCATGTGTGCCAACATACTTCTGAGCTGCATAGTTCATGGTTACAATGTCTAAGTTAGCACAAGGGAAAAAATAGCGGTAGGTCCGCTCAAGACAGCTGAACCTAGCACTGAAGCTAGTTTCTACGGGAGCCCAGGCCAGCACGCGGATGTCTGGAGGGAGTACCCGGTTGAGAATGTGGGTATAACGGATCTCTGTAGCCACATCATTGACTTCGTCTTTTAAGTTAAGATCCTCAGAATCCCTGTCCTTTGGAAAGTGAGAACGTAGGTCAAGAGAAATCACCTGTGGAATTAAGAGAAAGATATTTAGAGAGACAAATAATCTGAATCCTCAGTATGTACACCTAGAATATATTAGGATTGCTTGCTTTGCGAAACAGGACAATGGCCCTTACCTGTCCAAAGGCACTAACTCCTTTGTCTGTTCGCCCACACCGGTGATAGTTGGATGTCTGCCTGTTTTCTACCAGTCGAGTCTTGGTTAGCGCCTCAAACAGTTTCTCTTCAATTGTATTGCTTGTGTTTTCCTGACTGGCAAAGCCCTGATATCCCCAGCCCAGATAGGCGATCTTTAGAGCTACATGTCTTTGACCGTGAGCACTGAAATCAAAGGCGCGCTTAGCTTTCCCCCCAGCTCCTGAAGAATTCTCTCGGCTCTTTGAGTCCTTGTTCGTGGCCTGTTCTTTTTTAAGTCGCTTTACCTGCTGCTCCAGTTCCTGTACTCTCTTTAGGAGTTTCTCAGTCTGGATTCTGTCTGCGTCATTTTCAGCCATGATATGACAACCTCGGGAATAAATACAAAGAGATCCACCCTATCTGAAAAGAGAGTAAAGAGACACAGTTTTAGTGCTGATTCCCTTGGTGATGTCGGTATCTATCATTCCATTATATTCAAAGAGTATCTAAGATTTAATTTGAGGCCTAAAGGATATATAGACGTTGGATTCTGCCCAGGGATACAAGCATTACCTTCATTATTATGGGTCAATCATCTAGATATTATTCTTTTCCATCATGTCTGGTCAATTCACAGTGAAAAAGGAAGGTAGCATCAAAAAAAAAAAAAAAATCCAGCTAGCATTGTTAAGATTTAAGTAGTCAGAATTTAGGGGAAATGTAGATGTCAATTCTCTATTCTTCATGAGCTGAGATGGTGGAGGATTGATGTTATTGGTATTTTTCCCCTAAAACATTTCCTTTTGACGTCTCATTATATTTGTGCTATCTTCCAATCATAAAATCTTTTTATATGGAGTATTTATGTCTATGCCAAGTTTCTGCTGCTTTCTAATATTGCAGATAAAATTAGTGCTTGTGGTGGGTGGTGCGTTCTGTCATCTGAAACAGTTCTGTCTTAAAGGTGGTGCAATAGAAGCTGGCCCAGTGGAAGAAACTTGTCAGCGATTGTACTTCATATTGGAAGTAGAATCTGGAATCAAGATTTTACCCCTTTAAGCACCTTGATGGCACAAAGAAGGTAATTAAGCATGAAGGTCTTTTTAAGTCAAATTTAATGCATGTTCTGATAAGAGATTTCTGTACCTCTAGTAGCTAAAATTGTCATGATGGAAAATAAAGTCACTCTGGATAATGTAATTTAGATATCTGTTGAAATTCCTGACGTATTGCAATAATCTGAGGACAACTGTACTACATCTGTAAACTGGGACAGTACTAGACAGTCTTTGACTGATGGTTACTTTTCGTCTAGGTAACTCATTTAGTTTTTTGCTCTTTGAGTTTCTATGACAGATTACAAATTTAAATGTAAAAAACAAACCTATACAAGTATTAGGAGAAAACATGACATAACCGTCTTACAATCTTGAAGTAGGAAAGGCATAAGTAAGGAGCTGCAGAAACCCAAAAAAATGCGACCACCTAAGAATATGTTTCTAACAGAAAAAGTCAGAAGTTAGAGAACAAACTGGAAGAAAAATGAAATGATGGTATGTATTTCATATATAATCAGCTTTCATATAAAGATCAATAAGGAAAAAACCAGCAACCTGAGAGGTAATCGGAAACAAGCATATTTCATACACAGGGAAAAAAATCTAATGGCAACAGCTATCAAAATTGAGTGCACACATGCCTTTGACCCACCTATTCCATTTCTAGAAATTGAATGTACACATATGCTTGCACAAGTATGTAAAACTTAAGATATTAGTTATAAGACTCGTTGTTAAGAACAGAAATAAAATCACTAAATTAAATCCCTCAGGAACACGCTGAATAAATTGTGGTGCCTCCATACCTTGGACTTCCATGTACCTTTAAACAATGAAGTCAGTCTCCTTCTTCTGACACTGACACAGCTGGATCACTAAGACTGTTTAGGATTCGAGAGTTTCTTTATGGTATAAAAATGTGTATATGAATATGGAAAATTACTGGAGAAATGATAAGAAGCTGCCTTTGGCAGTGAAACTTGCTTTGGGTGGGGGGGTGGGGAGTCCTTGCTTTAAACTACATGTATATGTATTAGTTTTTCAGCCTGAGAAAAATATCAGCGATACAGGAAATAGTGGGCAGTAGATACCGATTCTAGATCCAGTCAGGAAACTGGCATTGGGTGTTTGGTTTGGGTACTTAAAGTACTTAAGCATAAGGTTGTGTGCTTGTAATGGTCTTTTGGATTAAATCTCTCTCACAGTTAAAAGCATGGACTCTGAACCCAGACTGCCTGAGTTAGAATTCCAGCTCAACCACTTCCTAGCGCTGTAACCTTAGGCTATTTAATCTCTCCATGCCTCATGCTACTCATCTGTGAAAAGGAGATACTAAAAGCACTTATCCCACAGCTGTGAGGATTACATGAGTTAATAAATGTAAAGCACACGAAAACAGTGCTGGGCACATTAAGTGTCCCTCTTAAGTCCAAGTTAGATAATATACATGAAGCATTATGCCCCATATCATTAATCTCTTGAGCTTTTCTTATGCCAGAACCTACCTATCCTAGGAGCTACTAAAGGTGGCAAGACTTCCAGGCAGTAAAATTGGGAGTGATTTAAGAAGAGCCTGGAAATGAAAGTGGGTAATAAACCCTGAGTTGAGTTAATGCCTGCAAAATGACTGCAGATGGTGACTGCAGCCATGAAATCAAAAGAGGCTTGCTCCTTGGAAGAAAAGCTATAACCAACCTAAACAGCATATTAAAAAGCAGAGACATTACTTTCCCAACAAAGGTCTGCCTAGCCAAAGCTATGGTTTTTCCAGTAGCCATGTATGGAAGTGAGAGTGGACTCTAAAGAAAGCTGAGCGCCAAAGAATTGATGCTTTTGAACTGTGGTGGTGGAAACAACACTGGAGTCCGTTGGACTGCAAGGAGATCAAACCAGTCCATCCTAAAGGAAACGGGTCCTTAATATTCATTCGAAGGATTGATGTTGAGGCTGAAACTCCAATACTCTGGCCACCTGCTGGGAAGAACTGACTCATAGGAAAAGACCCTGATGCTGGGAAAGATTGAAGGCAGGAGAAGAGACGACAGAGGATGAGATGGTTGGAAGCATCACCGACTCAATGGACCTGAGTGAGCAAGCTCCAGGAGTTGGTGATGGATAGAGAAGCCTGGCGTGCTGCAGTCCATGGGATCGCAAAGAGTCAGACACAGCTGAGCAACTGAACTGACCTGAGTTACTGCCCCTCCAAAGTGCTCCCTTACTGCCTGTACTAATCTGTATTTTACCATATACGTAACTGTTGTACTTAGGACTGTTCTGTTTCACTGCTATAAAATAGTACATAGGAAGGGAATGGTGTTTGAGCTGGAAGTTTATTATCAGAAATCTAATCTGTGATTTTCTCTTACAGAAGGTCCTTCAGTGTAGGAGAAGCAGTGGAGGAACTTGTGGGACCTGATGGACAAAAATGGGCTGATATGGATCCAGAAGAATGAATGCTAGTAGCCGCTAAAGCTTACACTCATATCTGTGCAGGCCACGGTGAGGGAGATGTCAGGAGAGAAGCCCAGTCCATCCTGTATGATCCCTACAGTAAAGCCTCAGTAACCTCAGGAAAGCGACCTGCTTTTCCTGCACAACTGCATTACCCACACATAGAAAGCAACGCCCCTTCAGAAGCAGTCTCAGAGACCTCCCAAAGACTCCGAAAGCCAGTTATGAAGAGAAAGGTGCTGCGTCGAAAGCCAGGTGGGGAAGTATTAGTGACAGATGAGTCGATGATCAGTGGATCAGAGTCTGGTACAGAAAGTGACATGGATGTCTGGGACTTAAGACAAAGGCTGATGAATCTGCACTTCCAGGAAGACAGGGAATCTCCAGTTGATATTTCACAAAAATTTAGTCTACCACGTGAATACCAAGGAATTTCTCAAGATCAGCTCATTTGCTATCTACGAAGAGAAGAAATGGGCCCTCCAGCTTATGAACAAGACCTGATTGTTGCCAGCCGGCCCAAGTCCTTTATCCTCCCAAGGCTGGACCAGTTGAGCCGAAACCGGAGCAAGATAGACCGAGTAGCCCGATATTTTGAATATAAACGGGACTGGGACTCCATGCGGTTACCTGGTGAAGATCATGGGAAGGAACTGCGCTGGGGTATCCGAGAGCAGATGCTTTGTCGTGCAGAAGCCCAGTCCAAGCCTCAGCATATATATGTTCCAAACAATTACCTAGTGCCAACTGAGAAGAAACGATCTGCCCTTCGCTGGGGTGTTCGTTGTGACCTTGCAAATGGTGTGATGCTCAAGGAACTTCCTTCCTTCCCTCTTTCTCCTTCTTAAGTCTTTTTTTTTTTTAAACTAGTCTCTCCTTTCACAGGATTGTTTGCAATAATCTGGTTCTTAGTATCTCTCCTTTTATTTAAATAGAAACAACTAACTCAAAATACCATGGAACACAGAGTAAGGACTTTACCCATTACTGGTCTTTCCTAGCTATATGTCACATTGGTATGTACCACTTAACTTCCAGATGACCATCACATCTAGCAGTTTCAAGAGGAATCATGCCAGAAAAACAGACCTAGGCTTTCTGTTTTGTCTTAGTGAGCAAAGCCAACACTATTTGTTTCATGAACTTGTTACTTTTGGCCAATGTGAGTTGCTGTTTTTATCATTGTGTTTTTAAAGTTGCTGAGCAGTAAGCTTACCTATTAAAGACTTTTGGAAATTTGTGAACTTGACCTTATTTTCCCTTAAATATTTTCCAAAGGCAATCTCAAACCTAGGTTATGACTGCTTCCAATCATACTCTGCATCATACTTTCCGCACCTAAATGAGAGCCAAAGGGAATGAACAAAAACCTGGCCTTTACACACAATCCTACATGAAGGAACAGCAAGATAACCTTTGTTACTAAAGGAATACAGTAATTCCACTAACTGCGTTAAATGTTTTTTAATAGATGCTCAATAATAGCACGATATCCCATGCAAGGTTCTAACCCAAGTTTTGTTTCAGAATTATTTCAGTAATATGTTGCCCTCTGTGTATCACTTCTGGAATGCCATACTTTATATAGTTTGGCTCTGAGATTTTCTTAGAAATCATGTCTGTCATTTGAAAGCTATTGCCACACTGCAACAGAGCTTCAAACTACTAGCAGCTGGAGCCAGATGCAGACATAACAACCAAAATGAATCTGGCCTCTTAGGGTCAAATCACTAACTGAGCTCATCTGAACTTTTGGATCTGTTTGTTCTTCACTTCTGTTCCAATAATACCTAAAACCTGGAGGCTGTCAGGTTTAGCATTTAAGCCAGCAGAGTAACAGCAGAAATAGCTTGCTTGTTCAAGGGAAAAACAGCCATGTAACAAAAATGAATGACCTTGACCATTACTATATGCTAAAATACATTTTCTAAGTTACATCATTCATTCACCCAGTTCCATTGTTAAGGGTTCAGCAGGGAGAGAAATAGTGGCTCAAAGATACATGTAACATTCACTTCAAGTAAGTAGAAACTGCCAACTGTTCAATAGTGAAGTAATTAGACATTAGTCATTGGAAATACATGGGAAGCTAATAGAAAAAGGAAAATTAGATCAAGTATACAGGCCACACACACTGTCTTACTGCACACGCAAAGCACAAGGAAAGATCAACACAGCTAACTCCAGGTAGTGGGAGTCAAGGTAGTTTGTACCTCTTTTTAAAAGTTAACAGCAACATAGCATTTTTTACATACATGTCAGTTAAAAAAAAAAAAACTCCCAATGGTTTGCCTCTTCATGTATTTCTGACAGCCCAATATTACCTACCTTATGAAACCAATTAGTCCAAAGGTATTAAACCGGTAGTAAGACATTTTTGGCAAAAGGGAACTGACTCAGTAGTTTTCCCCAGAACACCACCTCCCCTCAGGGTGAAGCACAAGTGTTCTCAAGCAGCTGTGTAATATCAGGAAGGGAAGTAAAAGTCGCTCAGTCGTGTCTGACTGCGACCCCATGGTATACGGTCCATGGAATTCTCCAGCCCAGAATACTCGAGTGGGTAGCCTTTCTCATCTCCAGGGGATCCTCCCAACCCAGGAATCGAACCCAAGTGTCCCGCATTGTGGGCGGATTCTTTATACCAGCTGAGCCACCACGGAAGTCCAGGACAGGGGTCACCAAATTATCAAACCAATGTTCAAATTTGGGGGGAAATTGTTGCCACACCTCCTCACTCCACATACTACCGGAATCTCCACTTCTACTAATACTTGGTTTCATGAGCAAACGAATTCTGAGGCAGAAGAGACTATACTCCGCAGTCCCAGGGGCCTCAAGAAATCGAAGTAAACAAGCTCCTAACTGTTGCACGTTTCTGACAACTGCTCCAAGAAGCACCAGACACAAAAACACAGGGTCTTTAGCGAGGTTCCACTTCCATACTCAAAAGAGTGCTTTCCTGAAAAGATCAAGGTACAGAAAAGGGAGCATAGGGGAAATGGCAGAAACGTCCATCTGTTTGCCCATCTGTTCGTTCCTCTTTGTAGAACCCAGAAAGTAATTCACCCCCCAACACCCGCACACTTACCTTCCGGTTGTCGACCACGCAGCTTTCCTCGGGACAGGAAGTGTCACTTTGCGCCGGGTCCTCATGGGAAATGTAGTCCACCTTTATGGGAAATGTAGTTCTAAGAGCCGGGAGTGCAGATTTCACACTGAAATCTGCCTAATGTTTTGCAGTCCGGCCACCTTCTGGGCACCTCCAACAAGGCATGATCTGGGGCCTGCGCGAGGACAAGAATAAAAGAGAGGATAATTTCTCGTCCGCTAAAATAATAGAACGTTAAATTTAAAGAACTTGACCCGATTTTATTCGTAGTTAAATTAGTAGGAAGCTATCACTGACAGTCAAAACCATTTACAATTAGACTCCACATGAAGGGCTGAAAAGGAATGTGATCGTCTCATAACAAATGACCGAGATGTCTGAGTGACCGAACAAGGACAGGAAGTCTTGCTTCAGCACCACGGAGAGATCATAACTAGGATTTTGCGCGTTTTTCTAGAGATGCTGATTGAAATCTCAAGATTCCGGTTAGAAAACTTGAAGAAAAAGATATTCTGCTTCTTTTGTGCAGATGTAGCAGTCATTGGTGCCAAATATCTACCCCTGATTGTGCAGGTGAAGGTGGGAGGTGAAGGTTGTACGAAAGGGGAACAGTTTTCTCCGCGTTGCTTCAGCACGAGGCACGTATCAAAACTAAAATGAAAATAAGCCGGTATTTGGAAACATGACAGGTGTGGAGTAACAGGGACAGTAGTTAGAATTTGAATAACTTTACTTCCTCTTTGTGCATCTTTCCCAGTTGTCCAGTGAACCTCACTCCGTCTGACTCCACTTTCCTATGCCATTTCACCACTAGCCTTTCTGACATCTTGCAACGTAGCAGCAGAAATTTCGGGGGAAGGCGGACATGCGAGTTTCAAGCGGGGTGCAGGGGTCCTGCCCCACCACCTGGAGAATAGTATGGGGAGAGGGTGATGGGGGAGAAGAGGTAGGACTCTCGAATCAGTGAGGAGATTCCTGCCGCTTAGAGTCTCCCACGCCGCTGCTGCCTCAGCAGAGGTCCGCCTAACATTCTAATATTCACCACAGAAGCGCCAGTGCCGGATTTCTAACGCCCGGCGCGCACCCGAGGCCGGGTGGAGGACAGCTACCGCCCGCCCCCTCCTCCCCGGACCACGCCCCCCAGCCCTGACTCCTCCCACCTCCCCGGAGCTAGGGCGCCTGCGCGCGGCGGGAGGTGGTTCTCGCCCCGCCCCCCACGCCCCGTCCGGCCGCAGGAAAGCCCATTGGCCGCTGCGTGGGGCCGCGTGCTGCCTCGCGCTTGTGACTGTCGCACGTGCTGGGGCCGGAAGCAGCCGTCCCAGCGATGGCGTCGTTACTCTGGGGAGGCGACGCGGGGGCCGCGGAGAGCGAGCGGCTGAACGGCCACGTAACCGCCACCGAGCCGGGGAGGGCCAGCGGGTGGGAGCTAGAACAGCACTCTCGGAGGGCAGTGTGCTGGGGAGGGGAAGGGGGAGCCCCGGTAGCGTTTGGGGTGTCAGGTGGTAGAGAGGAGCTGTGGCAAGGACTTGAAGAGGGCCACCGGAAGGGAGACTCCGAGTGGAACAAGACCTTGGGTTGGAAAGGGCAGAATGAAGACTCCTGCGCCGGGAGGGAACGGAGCTGGTGGCCCCAAGTAGACCCCGAATTTTCTTTTCTCCCAGTTTGACCACTGAGCCTCCGCTAGCCTTCATCTTCAGCTTAGCTGCCTACACGCTTTCCTGTCTACTTTCCTTTGCTTGTCCTGTGACCCCCAAGGACCGTCCCATTTAGACCAGAGGCTTAGAAAGAGGAATTTCACATGCAGGGGCAGCGGAAAGTCTCCTTCCAATCTTAGGGTAATTCATACAGGAGACCAGTTCCTCAAAGGAATCCATTTATACATAACATTGCAAGAGAAACAGTATTGAGAGGGGGAATCTTCCCTTTCTTCCTTCCAGTCTGTTAGGGGGCAGCACTGGGCTGCTTGACGGTTTCCTTCCTAATATTGATTGAAATTTGTATCTTTCAATAGTTTTCAAACCTCATCCACTCCCAGAACCTTCTGGGTATCAAGAGTGCTACCATCCCAAACATAGGTGAGTGCTGTTAAAGGAGACTGGGCTCAGTTCCTTGAAAAAGTGTTCTTTTCCTCTTATCCCAACGTTGGCTCCCTTAACACTCAGGGCCCTCCACTGCCTTCCCAGTCTTTTTACCCTCTTCTCTACTGCTTGACCCTTTGTGCCCACTGTAGAGTCAGCAAGAGAAACTGGGATGATACGCTAGACGTTTCTGCTTGGCATTTATCTTTACGGTTTTTTTTCCTCACATCCTTTTAGATGGTTCTGTTGATAGGATCGAAGAAGATGATGAAGATGATGTAGGTAGGAAATAAATCCATTTGTGGATATTTACTGGCATTCTGGTTCATGTACTCATGACTTCACAATGTGAATGAATAATATCTTAAGTGGAAAAGAACTATCTTTGCTTCTGTTTTCTTTATGAATAGTGAATGTCAGAAAAAACACTAACTTTGGAGTGGGGATTACCTCTTTAGAGGAAAATTGAAGCAGAATATGTAGGAATGGGTTAAGACTTTTCAGCTGGCAAGGACAAAGTAGGTGTGGTGGCAGTAGATGTAGGCTTGCTTGAAGATAGAGTCTGGTGTAGGACAGAGTCTCAGAAACAGAATTCTCAGTGCTGTGTCATTCTTTCTAGAACCTTCTTTTACAGGAAAAATGACAGCAGGAGCAGTTGCTTGATATACAGTTACTGAATGGAAGGAAGCAACTTGTTAGATGTCATTCGGGAGGCTTGACTTTTCCCCTGCAACATCCCCTTCTTTATCCTTGCTTTTCTAGTGGATTTGGCAGCTAATTCACTCTTAAACAAGTTNTAGAACTGATATAAGAGTCACCTGAATGAAATTTTGTCTTCTCTGAAAATTGCAGTTAAAACAGAAGTTTGTCATTGATTAAAAAGAAATGATAAATATCACTTAGTTTTCTTCTTGTGTGGAAACCAAAACTCTCCTGGAAAATTGTAGTTCTCTCCGCTGAGTTTTCCCGTTTTTTTCCTCTTGATTCAAGAGAGAGTTCACCTTAAGGTGCTTGGTCTAAGCTAATAACATAACTTATTGCTTTAGTGCTCCAAATGTACAGGCATGATTCTATATGTTTGAGAGTTGAGATTTAGATATATTATTAATACATTTCATACCCAGTTGCAAAGTGGCCTAATTTAGAAATGCACTTTTCATGTTTGTCTTTCTGAGGCTCCCGATGCATCATAGCCTTCAAGTATTTGATGTCTTTTTTTGACAGCAAGGAAGAGTTACTAAAAGGGATCTATGCGATGGGATTTAATAGACCATCCAAAATTCAAGAGATGGCTCTCCCCATGATGCTGGCACATCCGTGAGTTTCCAGGGAAATAGTGTTACAACTTGGTTATTTTTGGCCTCAACTTGGTTGATGCCCAGCGTCTCCTCTTTCCTACAGACCCCAGAACCTCATAGCCCAGAGCCAGTCTGGAACAGGAAAGACAGCTGCTTTTGTCTTGGCAATGCTCAGCAGAGTTAATGCCTTGAAATTGTTTCCACAGGTAAGGAAAGGCTGAGAGAGATAGGAATGCTTGCAGTGCCAGTGGTGTTTTAGTAATGGGCAGTAGTGCTGCCATGATGTGATGATATTTATAATAGATGTTCTTTCTTAAAATCATAGGATTATAGGCAGCGGTACAGTGTAGTGACTGAGAGCACAGTCTTCATAGTTTGACTGGTTCCAATACCAGCCTCTCTACTTACCAGCTGAAAACCTTAGGAGAGTTAGTGAATCTTTTGGAGTACATTTTCTTGTTAATAAAAGTAACATCTATAAAGGTGTGGATCACAGTTGTCCACTTTGCCCTTGAACCCTGACACCAAGCGCGGTGCTTGCCCTGTAGAAACCACTCTTTAAACATTGGATGAATGGGTATCTGCCTCATAGGATTGTCATGCAGATTGAGTGAAATAATGCACATTTTTAGCACTATGCTCAACATACAGTGAGCATTCAGTAGTGATGGCTATAAGGCTGTAGATGACCCAGTCCCTCCTACTTAACGCAGAAGGAAACAGCCTTGGAGAGGGAGAGGTGGCCTGTGAGGGCACAGTTGTCGGAGAGTGGCTGAGCAGGGGCTGGAACAGGAGACGCAGGCTCAGTCCCTGGGTCGAGAAGATCCCCTGGAGAAGGAAATGGCAATCCACTCCGGGATTTTTGCCTTGGAAGTCCCATGGGCAGAGGAGCCTGGTGGGCTCCAGTCCATGAGGCCAGAAAGAATCCTACCTGACGGAGCACCCCGACATGACGAGCAGACACGAATGTGGCTGCTTTACAGAGTCACGTTCGTTTCTGCTCTAGAGCAAAGGGAACCAGCCACACGTGTACATCCAGCCCCTCTCATCTGGATTCCTTCCCGTGTAGGCGACCACAGCGCGCCGAGCTCCCTGAGCTATGTAGTGGGTTCTCATTAGTTATCTGTTTCATACGTAATATCACTATCCCGCCACAAATTGTCATTGTATTTCAGAATTGCATAATGGCCCTTATGAATCTTTCTCCTCCCCCCTTATCTTTCTGCCAGTGCCTCTGCTTGGCTCCTACTTATGAACTGGCTCTGCAAACTGGCCGTGTGGTCGAACGGATGGGGAAATTCTGTGTGGATGTTCAAGTGATGTATGCCATTCGAGGGAATCGAAGTATGTACCAGCGAGCCAGTCCTGGCTGATATATACCTGTATATATTTAAGTCAACTATTTTATTTATTTTTAGCCACCTTTTAGGAGAAGGCAGTGGCCACCCACTCCAGTACTCTTGCCTGGAAAATCCCATGGACGGAGGAGTCTGGTAGGCTTGCCGTCTATGGGGTTGCACAGAGATGGACACGACTGAAGCGACTTAGCAGCAACAGAAGCAGCCAAATTTTAAATTTCATTTTTTCTTTTGGCTGAGCCCCATGACATGTGGGATCTTAGTTTTGTGACAGGGATCACACCTGCACTGCCTGCAGTGAAGTCTTAATGACTGGGCTGCCAGGGAAGTTACCCTGGCTCATATTTTAGATCCTGACTCCACCAACAATCATGGTATATTAATACCTTCTCTGCTTTCCCACCTCTAAAATGAGGACGTAATTGGCACCTGTATCAGAGTTATTAACTGGAATTTAATGAAATGATAGAGATGAAGCACTGTGTACACCTCCAGCAGGTAATAAAGATCCAGTACATGTTAGCTGGTCACTCCCACAGCCAGAACAACATCTCAGTGCTTTTCCTGTTCTCTTCTCTGAGGTCACTTGTTTAGTACAGAACAGCTATTATTGTTTTACTTCTTCATGAAAGTGCTACATGCATATAGTTTTTAAAAAGTCTTTAAAACACAGAAAAGTCAAAAGTAAAAGTATCAGTTGTTCTTTCTCAACTTTCAAAAACCTATTTGCGAAGTCAACTATGATTTTGTTATCAAATCTGTCAGCTTTTTTGTTTTTGAGTGTTGACAAAAAATGGGAGCTTTTGTTTTCATACGGTTCAAAATCTTACGCATCTTGAACATCTTTTTGTGTCAGTGTGTATAGCCCCACATCCTCCATTGGACCAGCTGAATAATATTCCATCATTTTTTTCATGGGACCTCTTGATGGACAGTGTGGTGGTTTTCCGTTTGGGGAGGGTCTGTAGGCCTTTCACTGCGGTGCCACTTTCCTGTAGGACCATGGAGATGTTTCTGGCCGGCTTTTTAAATGACTGTGAGGCAGAATCAGTTACTCAGGACTGTTACCATTACTGTAAACCAAGAAACTCAGGGACTTCCCCTAAAACTCTGTAAAATCAGAAACCACAATGACCTTCAGGGTTTGCCCTTGGGGAACCAATAGGAAATGTGTTGCCTGACTCAGAATTCCAGACGGTTAGAGTGGTTTCCAGCTTAGAAGGCCTTCCAACCCTTTTCTCCCTAGTTCCCAGAGACACGGACGTCACCAAACAGATTGTAATTGGCACTCCTGGGACTGTCCTGGATTGGTGTTTCAAGCGAAAATTAATTGATTTGACTAAGATTCGTGTGTTTGTGCTGGATGAAGCCGATGTGATGATCGACACGCAGGGATTCGCAGACCAAAGCATTCGTATTCAAAGGTAACCTTCACATCCATCCTTTTCTTCCTGGGTCGTCTGTCCAGATAAGGGGTTTCATTTGTCCACTGCTCTTCATTGCCTTTACTGCTTATTCCCCACTTCCTTCTCCTTTAAAGCAGATTGGGTTTTCATGATTTTCAAGAGCTCAGTGAGCTTTCGACCTCCTGTAATTTCCCACTTCCATCTTGTAATCTTGGTTTACTCTTGTGCTCTAGGCTCACAGATGGAATCCATATAGTGGGTCTGCACCAGATTTTGCCAATAATCCTTATATTTGAGCAAAATTCTAAAGAGAATTTATTAAAACCCCATAGTGCTATTGTAAAGATGCAGTAACCTGGGGTCATCAGCCTAATGGTCTAGTCCTGACCTTGCCTGTAAGTTGTCAAGTAAATCTTGTCATTTTGCTAGGCCTCTCTCCCAGGATCACCATGGGGCTTAAAATGTCAGGTTATCAGGCCTAACCTGAACCTTACGGCATCAGAATTTCTGGGAGCGGGCCTCTCTGTGGCACTTAGTTTTAAAGTATTTATGGTGATGGTGGTGTGGTCACTAAGTCGTGTCCGACTCTCGCGATCCTCTGGACTGCAGCCTGTCAGGCTTCTCTGTCCGTGAGGTTTCCCAGGCAGGAATACTAGAGTGGGCTGCCGTTTCCTTCTCCAGGGGATCTTCCCGACCCAGGAATCGAACCCGGGTCTCCTGCATAGCAGGCAGATTCTTTCCCAACTGAGCTACAAGGGACTGTATTAAATTCAAATAGGATATTGAAAGACTAATAATGAAAACCAGTAATCCCATGCCCCCAAACCCTAGAGAACACTGTCCGTTTTGGCATTAACTGTCATATCTTTAAATAACAAGCTTGCAGTGCTGCTTCTCATTGTATATTGTCTCTTCTGAGGTGGCTCAGTGGTAAGAATCTGCCAGTGTAAGAGACTCGGATCGAACTCTGGGTTGGGAAAATCCCCTGGAGAAGGAAATGGCAACCCACTCCAGTATTCTTGCCTGGGAAATGCTATGGACAGAGAAGCCTGGTGGCACAGTTCATGGAGTTGCAAAGAGTTGGACGTGACTGAGCAGCTAAACAACAGCTGACTTCCCATCAGAGAAAGTGGGAATTTAGTCCTTCTCTACCACCCCCACGCTCACTTTCCTGTCCCCTCCATGGCCTTTTGGTGGTTGTGTCATAAGAGTTTGGTTACATTAATGGTCAGTATTAATATTATTATCACAACACGAGTATTGTTAACTGTGGAGCTTTGAATTATTATAATGTGGATCATTGAATTATTACATATGTAGGTTTGTTGTTGTTTTATTTTGGCTGCACTTGGTCTTTATTGAATTTCATGGGCTTTCTAGTTGCACTACATCTGCCCCAGGGCTTGCAGGCTCAGTAGTTGTGGCTTGTGGGATCTTAGTTCCCTGACCAGGGATCGATCCGTTGTCCCTCACGTTGCAAGGCAGATTCTTAACCACTGGACCACAAGGGAGTCTCTAATTATGTTTCTTTGTGTGTAACTTTTCCCCCTAAAGTTGCCTGTTTTCCTCTTTTGGCTACTACCGTTGTGTAGGAACCTTCAATTTTTTCCCTACCTGTTTCATCAGAGGTGTCATATGTCAGTGATATCTCTAGATAGTCAATTCCATCTTACAACTCCATTGGTTTCTTTTTTCCCAGACGCTTTCCCACACACACTGTCTCTGATTCTGGCTTGGACTGGTTGCATGCCTGCAGCCACAGTCATGTCACAGTCCCCCCTGTTCTCGTTTGCAGCTGTCAGTCTCCTGTGCTGTGGGTCCTGTTTCTTGGTTTACTAACTGTGCTGGGACATACAGTCCAGTGACTTCCTGCAAAAGGAGGTGGAGGAAGTCCATTTTCTAGCCCCTGCATGTCTGAAAATGTTTTTATTGTGCCTGTAAATGTTACAGTTCATGGAGTTGCAAAGAGTTGGACGTGACTGAGCAGCTAAACAACAGCTGACTTCCCATCAGAGAAAGTGGGAATTTAGTCCTTCTCTACCACCCCCACGCTCACTTTCCTGTCCCCTCCATGGCCTTTTGGTGGTTGTGTCATAAGAGTTTGGTTATGTTAATGGTTAGTATTAATAATTATCACAACACGAGTATTGTTAACTGTGGAGCTTTGAATTATTATAATGTGGATCATTGAATTATTATATATGTGGGTTGTTGTTTTATTTTGGCTGCACTGGGTCTTTATTGAATTTCATGGACTTTCTCTAGTTGCACTACATCTGCCCCAGGGCTTGCAGGCTCAGTAGTTGTGGCTTATGGGTATGTGGGATCTTAGTTCCCTGACCAGGGATCGATCCGTTGTCCCTCACGTTGCAAGGCAGATTCTTAACCACTGGACCACAAGGAGGTCTCTAATTATGTTTTTTTGTGTGTAACTTTTCCCCCTAAAGTTGCCTGTTTTCCTCTTTTGGCTACTACCGTTATGTAGGAACCTTCAATTTTTTCCCTACCTGTTTCATCAGAGGTGTCATATGTCAGTGATATCTCTAGATAGTCAGTTTCATCTTACAACTCCATTGGTTTCTTTTTTCCCGGACGCTTTCCCACACACGCTGTCTCTGGTTCTGGCCTGGACTGGCTGCACGCCTGCAGCCACAGTCATGTCACAGTCCCCCCTGTCCTCGTTTGGAGCTGTGAGTCTCCTGTGCTATGGGTCCTGTTTGTTGGTTTACTGAATGCGCTTGGACATACAGTCCAGTGACTTCCTGCAAAAGGAGGTGGAGGAAGTCCATTTTCTAGCCCCTGCATGTCTGAAAATGTTTTCATTGTGCCTGTAAATTTGATCTCTGAGTTGACTTTTCCTGGATGTGGAATCTTATCCTAGAAAGCTTTCTCCCTATAAATTCAGAAACAGTGTTAAAAACAGAAAAATGGTGTTTGTTTTGTTTGTTTGTTTTTTGTTTTTTTTTTACTATAGTTAATACTCTGTTTCTGATCTTGCTACCGGAAAGTTTAATGTCATCCTTATCGCCAGATTTTTCTCAGTGACGTTCTTTCTTCTCCAGAAGATTTTGGAATCTTTTTATCCACAGTATCATGAGACTTCTCGGCTTGGTTCATATTTTTTTTCTTCATTGTACTACACACATGGCACGTGCTTTTCATTTCCAGAATTTGTGTCGATCAGATCTGGAGAAATTTCTTACGTTACTTCTTTCCCTACAGTGACCAACTTTTTAGGAAGCCAACCCAGTCCACAGCAGGGAAATACACACACACACATATATCATGTATATATAATAATATAATGCAGAAGAACTAATCATGCACATGTGTCATTACTTTACATAAAAATTTGTAAAATATATGTTTATTTGAAATTATATATCATTATCTACTTTTCTGTTTAAACAAAACAAACTGTCAAACTAAACTGTGGCAATTGGTAGTAATTCATAGGAGAATTAGTTAAATATGCATGAGAAAAATACACTAATGTTCGATCTCTGATACAGCAATTTAATCTTTTAAAACATGATTGGATGCTTCAGTTTTGAAGGCTGTGCTGTTGTATATATTTTTTTCTTTTTGACTGTACCACACAGCTTGTGGGAGTTTAGTTCCCTCACCGGGAATCAATCCTGGCCCTTGGCAGTGAGACCACAGAGTCCTACCCACTGGACCGCCAGGGAAGTTCCTACTGTATATTCTTAAAATACAGAATTACAGAACTTTTTGTAAAGAGGCTGTAAATCCATTAGAACTGATTACACCTACTACCTGTATTTAATGACAGACATAGTAATGACACTTCGCTTTGTGTCTGACAGTGCTGTAGGATGTTTCTCTTTTCCAGTGTCCTTGGGACTCCTTGCAACCTTCTCCGTTTGTATGTGGCAGTAACACAGAGTATAGTCAGATGTAAAATTCACTTTGATTTGCAGCTCTGCCGTCAGTAAGCCCACACTGATTCTTTTTTAAAACCTTTGGAGTGTAGTGCACACGCACAGTCCCTTCACAACGCTGTGTTGCTTTCTGCTCTAGAGCATAGTGAATCAGTTATACACAGGGCCACTCTCCTTTAGAGCTTTTTCAGTGTATGTCATTACAGAGTTTTGAGAATGAAGGTTGATATGTCTCTCGTAGCTCAGTCGGTAAAGAGTCTGCCTGCAGCGCAGGAGACCCGGGTTCGATCCCTGGGTCGGGAAGATCCCGGGGAGAGGGAACTGGCAAGCGACTCCAGTATTCTTGCCTGGAGAATCCCATGGACCGAGGAGCCTGGCAGGATACAGTCCATGGGGTCGCAAGAGTCGGACATGACTTCGTGACTAAACCAAAACCCTATGTTATTAACAATCCAGAGAGGGTCCTGGGTGTGAAACACGAAATGATTAGGTGGTGAGGGAAGAGCTCTGGAGATGGTGCCATTGAGAGAAAGAAGGACGAATGTTTGTTCAGTGTGGAATAGTGGATGGGAAGGATGTGCAGAGATCCAAAGGCAAGTTAAAAGGGTATGTTTATTCAAGGAAATCAAGGAAGAAGAGGGCTGCAGATTAATGAGATGAGAAACCAGGGAGACTGACTTCCTTTAGTTGCTATGGGAAGAACAGTTTAGAGAAGAAGTGAGAACACTGATTAGGAGGTGCATGGCGTGTAGTGTTTAGTATTAGAGTTTCAGTAGTAAAGACAGAAAAATGGAAGCATCTGAGATACACTTTGAGTGAAAAGGTACTGACCTGCTAGGAGGGAGAGAGGACTGAATATCAAAGACTCCCAAGTACTTGCTATATGCCACTGGGTAGAAGTATCTCTACTCACTGAGGGATCCTCGACGTGTGGCATGAAAAGGGGAGATGATTCAACTCACACATGTTACATCTGAGAGGTAAGTGAGCCGTTCGTGTAAAGATGGCAAAAGGGCCGTAAATATGTGACTGCATAGCTCAGGAGAAAAGGCTGAGAAGTCACATTAAAGCAGGGGGAGGGGTGCATGTGGAAGATGTGATGTGTTTCTGTGTCTG